TAGCAGAGGTGGGCCTAAGGTAGGCAGAATTAAATTCTCTACTTCTGTTTTAAAATGGAAATGAGGAGCTCAGTTTCAAGCTGAAAGGTATCCCCGCCCCTTTTTTATTTTTGGCATAGAATGAGGCTGTATAATGGCCCACTGTTATTGGTGCCAAGTTCACATTTGTTTGAGATGCATCTCCATCTAATTTTTTTTCTTGAAAGACCCTTTGGTACCTTTCCCAAATGCTGTCATAAAGATCTTTGGTAAGCACCCTACCTAAGGTTATTATTAATTTTTTTATAAGGGACTAGATCTTGAGTCTTGACTGGGAGGCAAATGGAAAGGTCTTCTCCATAACTCTGGAGAAACCTTGTGCTGGGTTTTGTAACAGACATCTCAGAGCTGGCATGCATATTATGTAGTTGGTCTTCTTGTTATTTAGATAATCCACCCACTGCCCCCATATACACAGGGCCTTAATTCTGCACCTTATTTGCCCATCTAGTTCAGCGGTTCTCAACCTGTGGGTTACGACCCTTTTGGGGCTCAAACGACACTTTCACAGGGGTCGCCTGATTTGTAACAATAGCAAAATGACAGTTACGAAGTAGCAAGAAAAATAATTTTATGGTTGGGGTTTCACCACAACATGAGGAACTGTATGAAAGGGTGGTGGCATTAGGGAGGTTGAGAACCACTGATCTAGTTTGAACCTCCATTTCTGTTTGCGATGGGTTCAGGATATGGATCTAGAACCATCTAGACATTTCCATTGTCTTCTAGTACAATGCAGAACATCCTCCTAATAATTCAGATCCTCGAGGCAAGGATTTCTTGGGTCCTAGGTAATCCCCTGGGCTACTCACACCCGTATTCAGATGACCCCAGCAAGATCTCAGAATCTGGGACGCATATGCCCACTAGTTTGACTATGTGTGCCTGAGGGCAAGGGCAATGTGTCTTGCATGCAACCGTGCCCGAACCTTCATGGCACACACGATCGATACTGATGTGTATTGATCATGAGTAAGTCAATGAATTCATCAGGAGTGCTCACTCTTGAGCATTTACTGCCACGAGAGCTCTCTCTTTACCTGACGTGGGTTTATTAGTTTTATTATTCCTCTTAGGGAGTAACAGTTCTCTCACTTTCCAAGGCACCGATCTTGTTTCTTTTTCTTTTTACCTGATTTGGTCTTCCTCCTTCCACCACAACCTCTCCCCTGCCCACTGCCATCTTTGAGGGCCTTTTGTAGACCATGTTTTGTGAAGTTTTACAAAGCAGCTTTATTGAGATACAATTTATGGACCATCAAGTTCTCTGACCTAACCTGCACGATCCAGTCATTTTTAGTATAATCACAGGTGCAACCATCACCTGAACCAAAGTTCTGCCAGGCACATGTGACCAGAAGGATCCGCATTCAAATCCTTGTTTCTTCCCCTTACACGTTATGTAGCCATCAGCACGTTTCTTACATCCACGGAGACCTGGCTTTGCCTCGTGGTCATATGACCTGTCCCTCATCGGGTGGTTGTGAAGATTAAATGAGGCATCGCATGTCAAGCACACAGCTTGGTGCATGGTGCCAAATAGACATTCAGCGAAAGTTCTTTCCCCTGATCGGCGACCCCTGTGTCTGTCTAGGCCATGAGGGGCGGTGCACAGGGAAAGAGCTGGCCCTGGTCGCTGATCTTCCCCAGCCTCCTTTCCCTGTCTCAGCATCAGTAGGGAAAGAATCCCAGTGGAATGGGGTGGCTTGCCCCAAACCTGTCAGTGTGGGCATCACCCAAGATGCCCGTGGTACGCCAATTGACTCTCTCTGTTTCCGTTTTCTTTCACTCTCATCTCAGGAACACCCCCACCCCACACACACTTGGACTTCAGTAAGTTACGATCTTATTCTCTTTTGTAGTTTCTTGCCTCAACGGTTCCCTTTCTGGAGGGCTCTTAATGCTACACGTTTTTCTTTGTCATCGCTGAACATTAGTGTTGGAGGAAATCCTAGAGGTAGCATAGTTCTACTGTCTCTTGTCGAAGAAACTGACGACCCAGAAAGTGAGATCGTGTGATTCCATCGTTAGCTGGTAGCAGGGCCAAGATGAGAAGCAGGTCCGCATTGAATAGATAGGCCTGGAGGAGTGCAGAAACTCCCTTTGGAGCATATTCCTTCCAGACTGCTGTATCGCAGGCTGAGTTTACATTTGACCACACCTCTCTGCTCCTCTTAGTCTCTAGTACCAGGATGAATCTACAGTTGTTAGGGTTTATTCTTACGGGATGAGATCAGAAGGCTGGCGAAGTATAGTGTACTAAGTGGCTATAATATTTATATACTCACCATTATTTGGAGAAAACAGAAATAACAATTTCCATGCCAGTAAGAATCTGTACATTTGGTCCGAATCTTGGGATTCATTTTGGTTTCCTGTCTCGGAGTGGAGAGAGCTGACATTTTCCAGGCTTCTCTGGCTTCAGGGGGATTCAGGCCTGGGGGGTTCCAAGGGAATGTGGTCCCTTCAAGTTACCCCATGGCTGATGGATGGCATGGCTCGTGAAGGGTTCTGCACTAAGTCCCTGAACCTTGGGGGTGGTGGGAGTGGAGGGGAGGGATGGGGACCACGTTAGTATAAGGAAGAGATGAAACTGTAGGTGTCAGCGAGTCTCAGAATTTCATTTCATTCGCATTTGGGCCCACATATAAAATGCCCAGGCTACAGTGTTGGGGTGCTAGCGATTTCAAAGCAGATGTGTCTGCTTTAGACAATGTAAGAGAAGGCATTATACAATGTGAGAGAGCTCTCCCCACCCCTTGCTCTCACCCCCCTTCACTGTACCCCCC